TCAGCTATACTGAGAGAAAAGAAAGAAGGGGCCATGTACATTGTACATGGAAGATAGAAGAGGCCATGTACATTGGAAGATAGAAGAGGCCATGTGCATTGTTCCATGATTCTTAACTGAAAAAGTTCGAACACTTGTTCGAGAAATATTGTGTTGCAAGTTATATAAAAACTCAAAGGTTAAGAAGAAATATGAAGACGACATACACTCTAATTTTTGCTGAAAAAGTTGGATAGCTGCCAATTAATTGACAAAAATAGCTTATATACCACGAAAAGAAAAACTCTTAGTTGGCGGTCACACAATTTTTGCTTACAAATAAACGATTTTTCAATATAAGCGATTTTTTTATTTCAAAATTAAATGTGTAGTGCAGTTGTTACGCTGTTTTCTTGTTTTCCTTGTATTAAAAACTGCTTTGTTTCCTGTTTTATCGGGTTTAAGCTGCACATCATAACACTTTGTGCCATAAGCTAATTATTGCAATTTAAATACCTTCAGGCCTAATTGTATTGACTTATGTGTAAAATTACTTGTTTTTCCTCCTTCATAAATCATATTCAGTTGTTTTCTATAATAAGTTTCAGTAATTTATATTTATGAAGAGACACATTTTTTCTGCATGTTTTGTATACAGAGGGACCCATAAACTGTGCAATAGAAAGACGACTGTTAGACTTGGTTTATGATTTTAAACAGTCCAATTAACATCAATATCAAACACAGCAATACAACATCAAAAACACAAAAACTTGCTTAATTGCCATGCTCCACATGTGTTATGAGTCCTACTGCATCAGAGATCAATCTTGAAATGGAACACTAAACATTTTTTTTATAAAGTAGAGAAAAATGCAAAATACGGGTTACAAAAATGTGATGTTTAATAACTGAATTAGGGTAAAAGTGACAGCTTCCATGAGATTAGGTTTACGTACTAAAAGGATGAAATTGAAAAGTTCTAATTTTTACAGTAGCGTTTTACAGTATAGCTTCTTTGTCAGAGTCAGAACAAATCTTTTCACAAACACCCTCAACTCGTGATGTAGAAATTAATAGGGTTTTTACAGGGTTAACCATAAAGAAGGAGATTTTAATGACGACTTAAAGCGCTTTAAAGGGACTGACGACCGTTGATCGAATGTTGCATTCCTGATTCTTATAATTATAAAACTTTTCTATAATTTTTCTTTAATAAAGTGATTGATTATGCAGCAGATGCAAGAAAGAATATGCTAGTATTTTTGTTTTATTTCCAAATGCAATTCAATATTGTAAAGATAATTCTTCGGCTCAATGAATTTTGGAAGGTGATCTTAAAGACAAATAGTTTGCAGTTTAAAACGATCGTTTTGTTTTAAAAATTACGAAGAAAAAACGAAAAACGAAACGGTAATTTTTTAAAAAGTTCGCCGTAACGATCGTTAACGACGACCTTTCGTTAACGACCTTTTTAATACAAAATATTGTTAGTTCTTCCTGAAAAAAATGAAATTATTTGTCATAAAACTCAGATTCATTAGCGAATTTTTTTAAACGATCGTTTTAAATATAGCGCTCGTCAGAAAATGATCGTTTTTGTTTTTGAAAGATCAAAACGAGTGGTTAGTTTTCAAAAACGATAATTTTTTTTCTAAAAACAAAACGAAAAACGATAGTTTTTTCGATCGTTTTTAAAAGTGATTAACAACCCTATTGCAGCTATAGCAACTTTGGGTTTCCTACAGCTCTCCATTTAATATATTTGCAAAATAACTTTTTCTGAGAATTAAAGAACTTTTAATTAAATAAAGCAATTAAGCAAAAAAACTATAGTTTTAGGATTAAACTTTTTTGTCATATCCCCCCCCCCCACCACGAATCCCAAAAGTAATTAGAATGAAATATTCAAGCAAAGACAAATCGGCAGCTATTAATCTCCTGGTCTAAGACTGATGAGGTGATCAGAATGTAATATGTTAACTAAAACACTCCTTACACTCCTTTTAATGTGATAATGTGCAACATAATCACCTAGCGGCCAGATCACTCATATTTAGATACAGAATACTATGAAAAGTATCAATTGTTAAGACTTTAAAGTAATGCAACGACTTGGTCTTCTAACTCATACTTTTTGTAGCCTTAGACATTCATGTTTTTAAACTTTGTAGCAGTTGTTTTTAGTTTTATTTCTTAAGAAGTAAGTGTCAAAACTCTCCTCGAATTATGAGTGAGAGCTTACAACTTTTGGATCATTGTTCACCCACTTTATTTTAGGTTTTCCATAATCTGTTAGGGGCGACCAGCACGCGTAAACTTTGAAATATTCCAAAAATAACCAATTTTTCTTCAGAACAAAACCTGTTTCATAGGAGATCATAGGAGATGCATGAAGATCTCTTTCCGTAGTTGGATTACGATGCGGGATTGTGAAGGTTAGATATTTTTCATTTTTTTTTAGGTCTAAACTTTTATGTGAGATAACGGCAACGCTAAAGTCTACATTGCATGATCTCGATATCCACTTGTAAGTGATTAGTCCTTAATTTACAATTTACAAACACAGGATTTCCTAATGGGTTTAATTGTATTCTTCTCGGCTACGGATTACTACTTGATCCCGGGATTATCTCAAAAGTTCTATTCTCATGCTCTGATGTAAATGAAACGTTTTTTAGAATAATCTTGTAGTTAGGATGAATACTGAGACAGGTGAAGGGGGGGATAAGGATACAGGAAGGGGGAGGGGTAAATAGATGGGGGTCTAACGAACAAGGTTTGTTTAATGACTCTATTCAAGATTTTGATCTAGAAATATGTATCTCAGAGATTGATCGAACCTGTTAAAGAAGCACGCTCTTTCATCATCAATTCATCAATTCATCAATTCGTCAATTTATCAATTCATTAATTCATCCTTATATCCATCCCTCAATTTATCAATTCATCAAGTCGTAAATTTTTCAATTCATCAATTCATCAATTCATCAATTCACCTATTCATCAATTCATCAATTCATCAATTCATCAATTCATCAATTCATCAATTCATCCTTTTATCCACCTATCAATTTTTCTATTCATCAATTCATCAATTCATCAATTCACCTATTCATCAATTCATCAATTCATCAATTCATCAATTCATCAATTCATCAATTCATCCTTTTACCCATTCATCAATTTATCAATTCATCAATTCGTAAATTTTTCAATTCATCAATTCATCAATTCATCCTTTCATCAATTTATCAATTCATCAATTCATTAATTCATCCTTTCATCAATTCATCCATTCTCAATTTATTAATTCATCAATTCATCAATTCATCTTGAAGGAATGGTTGATTGATTGATTGGTGTCAGATCGTTAAGGGTTATGAAATCGTTAATGGTGCAGCCGTTCACAGTCTTTGTAGTATTAACTGCACTAGCAGTTTAACTATATTTTCATATTTCACGGCTGGACAAACTCCAAATTTTTAAAATCTAAATTCAAAGGTACCGCGATCTATTCTCAGCATTTATGTTGTGAAAACCCAAGACGACGTTTAAAAACGTCAAAACAAGTAAAAAAATATGTTTTTTTTTCAAGTTTACTGCAAGTTAAAGCAGAAAAAACGAAATTCACTGTTTTAAAAAAAATCGTTCTGTTTTCGTTTTCAACCGTAAATATTTTTCACAAACGGCCCTAATCCGTTTCATGAATAGCTAAAAAATGTACGGGTTATGCCTTTCGTTAACGGACTCTTGTGTAACTTTTCGAAAACCTCCGTTCCGATGCCCAGCCCTAATTGAGATGCAATTTTGAAAGATATATGAAACATCTCAAATTCTTGTGCAGTGGAAAAATCGTGTTTAAAAAAGATCACAAACGATATCCATCTATAGTTATAAATTATGAACANCAAGGGGAGAAAGGAATATAGAAAGTAATCAATTTGCTATAGATGTCTCTCCTTGCACCTTCTCTCAGAGGTTCAAAAATTAGTTGTCTGCTACAAGCAATTTAGGAAGGAGATTTATACCTGCCTGCATATCTATATATATATTATCTTTGACTGCATGTATCTGACTTTTATTAGTAGCTTTCTAAGCTTGGGAACCCAGCTTCGTCTGAAAACTAATGATTATATTATCATTATTAATTTGAAAGACTATCGTAATCTTTTAAACAGTTAGTTAAATTTTATTCCATACATTTATATCGAGAAAAGCTCTTTCTTTTGCATTTTTAAATATCCAATTTGTTTTACTTTTTCTATTTTGTGGTTGAGAAAAAACTTTAAATACAACTTTTCATACTGCATTGTTAATAGGGTCAATAGCCGATTGATTTTATAGTCTGAAAATGTATAGTCGATTGCAAATTTCAAAAACGAAATAAAAAAACGGTAATTGTACAATTTGAATTTAAAAATTGATTTAATTGAGAGAAAAATTCTATCATACTATTTACACTTTTTGTAGGTCGTTCTTTCTAAAATTTGAAATAAATGGTATTGTTCGAATTCAAATTGAAAACAAAGTTACAATGAAAAGAAAAATATGTAATTACAAGTTCACAACATGGCTTATTAACTTTTTTAATATATCTAAAGTTTTCATTTGGTTTCCACTTTTCATGCGTATACATAAACCTTAATCCATTCCTGGCTTTTAGCATGTTTAAATAGATATCAAAATTTTAATAAATTAGGTTAGATTTCAATTTATCTCTCATTTTCGGATTTTTAGACCAGGGACACAACTAGCACTTTTGATGG